GTGTGTGTGTGTGTGTGTGTGTGTGTGTGTGTGTGTGTGTGTGTGTGCGCGCGCGCGATCATGGACATTTTGTTTGTCCATTATTTTATTGTATACCACGCTGAATCAAACACTTTGTTAAAGACCTTTTGATGTTCTCTATTTCCATTTATACGTAACAAAATATCTCAGCCATGTTTTATTGCACCACAGTCATTTATTTTTGTTATTTCTATTATTACAGCACAACAGAGACAAAATGATACTGCCGAGCTTGTGCAGAAGACCAACCCAAATCCCAGGCCTATAGTAAGCCCCAGTAAAGTTTACGTATGATTCACCATTGATTTTGACTTTATCTTGTCCATGTGATGGTGCTGAAGGGCTTTTCCCAAATGAACCTTCTCATTCCATCTTTCTTGTGCTGTCTCTGCTCTCCCTCCCCGTCATTTTTCATCTGCTCCCATTAAGCCTCCAGATCCACTACCTAATGGTGCAAGGGATTTGGGCCAAGGTCCCCATCCCCCCCTCTATCACTTGAACACGCACACCCACCACCCTGACCGCATGTACACAGCCCCGCATGAAACTCGTGGCAACCCACAGACGCTGCCGCTGAACGGGCTTCTTAACTCCGACACACACCAACACAATGGTCGCACCCACACAAATGGACTCCTACACAATGCCCCTCAGAACGCCAATTCATACCCACACAATGGCATTGACAACCGGGCTTTCACAAACACTGATGCTCAGAATGCAAACGCACTGCCGAACACACAGCAACAAAATCCCAACATTGTCATACAGACTGGCACTAACCAGGGCGGCGCCCAGCCGCCGGCGGTCCATGTCAGCCTTAACACTCCCCAGCAAAACAACAATTCACAAATACCCACCATTCATGTCAACCTTACCTCGTACCCAAACACTAGTCAACAGACTCAGGGAGACAACTCATTTCCGCTTACCAATACAACCAATTATAACGCTTCACAAACCCAACAAAACGTGACACATACCGGGCAATCAAATCCCAGAATGCAAAGTGGGCAGTCCTATCCTAGTGCCATAGAAGCCGGTCACCAAGATCAGCCTGGACTAGTCCCGACTGGATACACACATTATAACAGTAATAACGCTCCTCAGCAAAATGCCAACACGCAGACGTATCAGCAGGAGCCAGAGTCTCATCGCCGGTCCGATAGAAACTCTCGGGATCTCCTCAGAGGGACACCAGCGTACACTCCTCAGCGAAACGCCAACACAGAGACCTACCAGCAGGAGCCGGAGCCTCATCGGCCGTCCAATAGAAACTCATGGGATTTTCTCAGAGCGACACCAGCGTATCCCAGCGGCACGCTTCAAAGAGGACAGACATCACCTGAGTACACTTCTGACTATACAGACTACACTACCCATCCTCCCATACAAGTGGCAAGAACGCCAAACCGATCCCAGCCTCAACCTCAGAGCCAAACCACTTCCCGGAGCAGAGCTGCACCCAGACAAGATGCACCGTCAGCGGACAGACGGACACGGAGCCGCTCAACTGATCTTCAAGGCCCAAACATTCGCAGTGTAACACAGCTTGAGGCTGAACACCACACACAGACAAGTGGCCACACACAAAGAAAGGGAGCTCAGCGAGACATCAGAGGTTCGTCTGGTAGCCAGACCGCCCCAAGGCAGGAAGCCCCACATAACAATAACCCCCAGGCACTGCCTCTCATAAGCCAGCAGGCCTCTGTAGGCCGCTCTGCTCTGCCACAAGGACCGGTGACACAACAGGGACTGACTGCACCGCGGGGTGCAGATTCAAGAGCTTTGGCTGATCCTAATCACCTTCCACAGGCACACATGGCCCAGCAACAGAGAGCAGTGCAGATCCAAACACCACCACAAGGCCCGGGCAGACATACACATCCGGTCACAAATGGTGCCAATCAGCCTCGCCAAGGAGGCACCGCTCCAGTCCCACACTCCTCGGCCCAGCGTAATCCCAGTAACCTAACCCAGGCTGCACTTACAGCCCACACTGAGAGGGCTCAAACATTTCGGAATCGGAAACAACAGACCCAGGCTGCTCTGCTTCATCCCGGACCACAGGCACGTGTTCCTGCTGCTGCGGCTCAGCACGCGCCGCCTCCTCCCCCCGTTATCCCCCTCGCACAGTTCCAGACCCTCCCCAAGAAGCAGCACAAATCCCCAACTAGAGGTCCTCAGCCCCCCAGACCTCCTGTTAACATACCGGTTCAACAGCGGCCCACCAACCACCACCACCATCCTGGAAATGGTGGACAAAGGCATGCCCATGCTCATGGCCACAGGCACCCCTCCCACTTCACCCAGCCACAGCAGGTGAGTGAGACACAGCGTGGTGTTTTGAAACTGCAGCCCACAGTAGCCATATTTTTATTGATATTACATATTTCCAGCACATGGTTCTCTCCCAGATGTGCACTTAAGGCTGTCGTATCATGTCATGCTTCATGTGTATCATTATGCGTGTGTGTCGGGCCGTCTCTACCTGCAGTGTCACCTCAACAGTTTATGCTTTTGTCAGCAGTGTGAGTTTCTTGAGGGATGCTTGACGGCACTTGTAAATGGATGTTGCATTTTTACGATTGGCAGTCTTCTTGGTGCCATAAAAATGTATTTAGTCTTGAGTGTTTGACACTGTGGCGTTTTTTTTTTTAAAGTAGCATTGTGTGTCGGAGGTTCTGCGTGACATGTTGGCAATGAAGGGCTTGTTGTGTCTTTCCAGCATCAGAGTCCCAGAGGGAGACCAAGATGATGACAGACGTCAGCAGACTACACTCTACAACTGTCTCGCATGCATCTACTGACACAAACAAACCGCTGACAGACGTGATCCAATGTACCACCAAGCAAGACTGACTGCACAAGGTTCCGCTCTCCGAAACGCTGCCACACACTGGTGTCTCAGTCATGCAGTCCGTTTTTTTTAATGAAGGAAATGAACATGTCTCCTATGGGGATGATACAAATTGTACCTTTTTGGAATATAATCTTACTGTCCTAGAAATAAAGGACAAATTATCTCAAGGAAGGAGGCTAAATGTGCATGATTTAAATAAGTTGCATGATGATACTGGAGGATGTTTCAAAAAAATGCTCCCCCATCAACAACCCCTCTCTCCAAACACACACTAGACCCACATGTATTGTACTATTTTGTCTTCTGAAGCACTGGTCATGCATCAGACTTTGCCGAGAGCCTGCTCAGAGTAGACAAGTTCAGTGATCCATAGCTCTCGACCAAGCTCGCCTCCCATCATCCATCCATTCATCATCAAAACTTAACACTACCTTGACAAAATGCACTTGAGGTGCTGGCATGAATATGTGTGATTCATCTGTTAGTGACAGACAGTAAGGGAATTGGCCCCTGGGTGACGGTGACAATTATAGAGGAAGAAATTTGACATAGTGGTGGTCTTTAATGTACATGGAAGTATTTATTTTTCCCCTTGTGTTTACAGATGCCTCTTATGACACTTCTCAATTAAGCAGATTCGCCTCAGTGGCGCTCAGAAGTAATGCTCAGCTAACTATGAAGGGGTATCCCACAAATGGATGGGCGCTTATTAATTAAATGACTTGGGGGGAATAATCACACCCTTGCATGAATGAGGTCAGCATAAAGACTTGAGCTGCCACGCTTTCTGCTGAAAAAGCACAATGTAACAATGTTCTGTCTGCACTGGGTCATGGACAGCACATTTTAAACAATGGGATGCTGTTATTACTTTTACAGATTATGTATTTATTGATTTATAATGTTTGTGCTCTATTTTGTCTTGTAATTGATTGTGATTGATTAGGTTGCACCAATTGATGTCAATGCCATTGTTGTTGAATAAATGTTCATTTCATGGATAAAACTGGTTATATTAGATGTTTATTATTGTCAACAAATCCTGAATGAACTGATCCTACAAACAAGTGACATATCTCTCATTCCTCTGTGCCATAGAGCTCCATTGTTGTCCAATAAAAACACATCAGTGAGCTACACATTTGTTCTGGGTGACATTAATATTACCATAAACATGAGCTCTGTAGCTTATTGGAGACGATCGCACACACGCTATCCTGCTGCTGTAAATTCACACCAGCACCAAATGTGTATTACTCCCCAGCGGGAAATAGTGCATAAGTTGTGGACTATCTGCTGCTGTGAGAGTCCCATTTTACGAAAAAGCTACAGTGTCCAGCTGTTGCAGAAAATTACTTAGCCTTTTATGAAAACGAAACTATTTATTTGCAACCTGTTTTTTTTTTTTTTTTTTTTTACTCGAGATTTATATCTCGGCAATAAATGTGCCGAGAACCACAAGCAGAGAACGGATGTCAAACGTACGCATTGTTGTTTAAAAAATTAAATAAAATCTTTTTGTGGAACTTGTTGACAATAATGCCTCATCCTTTAAATCAAAAGACATAAGCTGAACATCCAAATTTGAAAACCGACACGAACAAATATGCAGCACATCTGGCGGATCCAACCAAACATCTGGAGCCTGAGATTTACTTTACTGCCTTGAAAAATGGTGCTGTTTTTCAGAAAAGGAATGCTCATATATATATATATATATATATATATATATAGTTAATACAGATGTTTAATATTCATGTGAGAAGCTGCAAGCACGGTATTTCAGTATCTTTGCTCCTCAGGAAAGGATTTGTACAGAATTGTTCCAAAATCACATTTTCTCAACAATAATAAAGTTTTTGGAGAACTTGGGTGAAGTCTACTGCTCAAACTGTTCAATCAAATTCGGCACATTGTTATATTTCTTACCACAGTTGAAGTCACCTGTGTAGACTATTCACAGCACAATGCACAATCATCACTTTATTTTACCTCTACTTTCAAAATACAGCGCATTCTCCCAAACATGAGGATCTTTTGATTTTCAGTACAAAACACATCCTTGTGCATGTTGACAGAAAGACCACAAAAACACATCTATTTATTCTGGTGCTCCTCTGAATCACAGAGCTGTTTGCAGTCTGAGCGTATTTCTGCTCACTGTGTCTATAGTGCTAATTATGCATGGTGCCTGTGTACACTGAGCGCTGTTGTTGATTCTCCTCAGATGAATCTGTTCCTCTGGCTTGTTGTGGAGGTGCAGAGCGTGTGTTTGGATCACAGCTTCATCAGTCTCCCAATCCCCTGCTCCCACTTGTACGTCACCTCTGATGAACAGTCCTGCTGCTCACTATTGGAGACACTTCACGGTAGTCTAGCACCGTAATGAGTGGAGATGGAGTGCATTTGAGTACCTGTGGTAGAAAAGGTTGCGGCACTGCCTACACCGGCTCCAGATGAAAGCTGTGATTTATGAAAAGTTTGGAGCAGTTTTACAAATACTGTTCCTGCCATCTTTTGAAGTGAAGTGTGTTGTTTTGTGGCTTAAACAACTGGAATTACAAGACCCTGTGTCATCTTAAAACACACGACACGGTAAACCTCAAACGCTGATGTGGCCTCCTTTCCTGGGCCAATTTGCATGCAAATCTGCTGGTGTTTTATTATACTGATTTGCCGTGATTTACTGTGACTGCCGCAAGTAATTGTAATTGTTTACGCATCCCTTTGGAAGCATAAATTAAAAGCAAACATAACTCAAGTGCGCTGTGTGCAAATAGGCATTTTTTTTTTACTATTGATGAATGCTCGTTTTTGGTGTGTGTCAAACTGCAGCAGCAGAGAGCTTTCTGGCCTCAAGTGTGTGTGTTGATTTTACTCTGGAGACTATTTGCACAGGAAAACTTAATACAACAAGATGGGCAATATAATCTGAATCCAATTTTAATTTAAATTCAGTCCAGCACAGCAGGCACACATATTTTTGTAGATTTGATGGCATTTTGTACTTTATAATAACATAGGAGGTTCTATAAGGGCCAGGCAGAATTAAGTCGAATTACTGAATCCCCTCATGTGAACAAAAAGTCATGATGCCGCCTTTATTTTTGTTCTTTTGTTCACTGCAGTGATTATTCTCTACCAACACAATAGTCCTCAGAAGTCCATATCATCATTGAAGTGAGCGGGTTAGTCCTTTGATATCCATGTGCCCATCCCTGTCAAAGTGTCCTTGAGCAAGACACTGAACCTGCACTGACCCCCCCCCCTTTAGTGAAATGCCACACGAGTCTCAGAGGAATATGAAATGAAACAAATTCATGATTAAACTTTACACACCAGGACAGCTGAACAAAAACACCCAACATGCTCGAGTGTGACAGCATGACTCTGAGTTTATAGCTTCAGTCTGTGCCACAGCCATCTATCCAGTCAAGATGTCCTTGAGCAGGACAGTGAATCCTCAACAGTTCACTGACTGTAAATCGCTCTTGATGGGAGTGTTAAAAATGTAAATCACACAAACGGCACTGTGGCAGCCAGGGACTCCATGCCCTGTCATCCCACAAGGGGGAGCCATGAGAGAGGATGTTTTGAGGTTATCTGTTGATCACTTTCCACCCTTTTTAAAAAAATTTTTTTTTTCATCCTCAAGGCCTTCACCATCTGACTGCTGAAATTAAAATACAAGCCATAGGCAAAGCTATTCCTGTCTTTAGTCCGGCACACAAAAAAGCAAAAGAAAAAAAGAAATCCGGTTGTGTGCAGCAACAAGGAAATCCTCAGTTGTCATTTGGCTTGTTATGCTTAAAGGTGAACTGTTGCCTTCAGGGATGCATATCAAATACAAGAACTTCAAAGAGTTTTGTGTCTTATCGTAATCTTTTGTTGAGCGTATCATGTCGTGTTTCATATTGTCACCATGCTTTCTCTTTTGAATAAAGATAGGCTTATTTACTGATACTTCTCAGTAAAACAAACTGAAGAGTTCTTGTTGAAATTCAGCACCTTAAAGCCTTTGAAATAGATCTTTTGATATCCTCTGTCGCTTTAAAATACAATAACTTGTCCTAGATAGTATTGTAATGTAGATACACATTCATATTTACAGATGGTTTCCCATGTTGTAAAGCCGATGTTTAAAGGAATGATATTGCATGCTGAAAATGACACCAATCATAGCTACACCCATGACACCAAACCACTAAACACTGTTTTAACAGAAACATAGAGCCACAGTTTAGACTGAAACCACAGACAAAAAGCGTAAAAGAAGATGCACAGACGTCTTCTGTTAGGAAACAGCACTTTCTTCGAATTGCAGCGCAGATAGTTCTTCTCATAATTAAGCCATGTGTTGCAGCAAAAAAAAAATCCAAAGTCAGCAGAAGGAAAGAAAGACGATCGCACAAAACAGAGCAGATGCACGAGTCACTATATGTGAGCCAAGAACATAAAGGAAAGCATCACAGTTACTCGCAGTTAAGACGAGGTGTGATTAACAAAATGGAGTTACTGGCTTTTACACAAGCTTTCTGTTTATATATTCCATTTGAATGCGTTTTGATCCATTTTGTGTTTCTAGCGACGCTCTTACGAAGGCTTAACATAAGAGAGATCAGAGGTCACAGCAGACCAATTGAAACAGTAGCAGCAAAACCAGTGTATTGATTTGGGCAACAGTGTTTTCTATTGCTGTAAAAAGAAGAACGTGTTATTTCTTCCGTCAAAAGTGACATAGTTCTGTGTGCAATGCTCGCACAGCACACTCCAGTAATTGCGGAGCCTTGTTCAGACCTGAAAGAAAACAAGAGGTTCAAACATCCCAACAAACCAACATGAGGTGCCAGAGATCAGTGTATGAATCCAGAGGGAGATCCGCAGCGTGTGGACAGGACAGACGGCTCAGCTGAGTGTGTTTGTGTCTACTGTAAATTGTCCAGATTAATAGTGGAGGGGATGAAAAGAAAGAGAAAAGTTGCCTTTATCTATCCATCCCTCTTCTGTCATGCGGAGTAATGGTGCTGTATGTGGCAGTAAGAGGCTGATCAAACAAGCATTTCTGTCCTACCTGCCATGGCTGAAGTGTAGACCCATATACTTTTTTTTATCATAAGTCAGTGGAACTTTAAACACCCTGCAGGATAGAGGCTAAACTCTGCTTTTAGCTTGACTTATGTTTACACGACACTGGGTGCATGGATTTCAGTCACTCCTCCACTGGCCTACTTTCTTGAGACCGTAAAGCAGAGCACACACAATCAGAAATACTCATAACAAAGGTACAGTGTGTGTAACTGAAGGCAGGTTTCTATCTGAACCGCTGCGTAACTGCACCAATATCTGCACAGCTGCTCTGCAAGCTCGCATGCTGCAGAGTATAGCCTCCTATAAACTATAGAGTCCGCTTAACAGTAATGATGTGCTCACGTGCTCTTCCTTGCACGGTGGACTGTGTGCACTTTCAGCCATCGCCCATGCCAATACAGATACCAGTAACCTGTTGTCAGCCGATAGCATTGGTCAGGCTCTCGTGGACATCTCTGCATCCTCAACTAGGTGAATGAATGTGTGTTATTTGATAAGGATGTGTTGCCCTACTTATTTGGGCTCAGCAGCTCAGTCTGACTACTTTAAAAAAAATTCTAAATATATCTTTTTACACCCACGGGAGGAATGGAGAATGGATGTGAATGACAGATTTGCCAACGGTAATTAATTTATCTGAGCTTTAGCGACTCATTTAACACTTCTGATTGCAGTATCTTGTCAAGTCAAATTGATTTGCATTGGTTTCAGTCACAGTTATAGTCTAAAAAGAACATTAGGGGTTTAAAACAAAGACAACACACACACACACACTCACACACACAGACAAACATTAAATATGATTACAGCTGTGTCATACTGTGTAGTCAATCATTCATTTACTGTCTATACACCATTACGGATGCTTCGAAGGAGAAGTCGTAGTTTTCACAAATACATTAATAAACATTTAAATGACCCTTTATCTGCCTACATCTACATTATAGTGTTTTAAACCATTTATACAATGCTTATGAATGCTAAATAGGGAGGTTGAAATAAAGTGTTACCAACAAAAATCCGATGGAAACAGATGTATTTGGAAGGCCCTAAAGCTGCCGGCTTGCTTCAGAACTGCTACTGAACCCCCCCCCACCCCCGAATTGTGTCGAGTAATGTCTTTAATTTCACGAAACTGATAATCTAAGATTCACACCCACTTCTCTTCTGGTCAGCTGTGTGGAGGTGAGAAAGGAACAGAGGGCATCACTATGGATGCCTTTATGCACCGTTATCCCCATAAACAGGAAACGATAAACGTCTCCCTCCTCTAGTACTACTACTACTGCTACTCGTATAAACACGTCATCCAAGTATTGACTTTTGAGAATCTATTCATTGCTTTAGCCGTATA